AAAAACCTACAATTTTCTAAGTCCGAAATGCACCCCGTGGCCTATCCAAAACTCACCCGAGCCCTCGGGGCTCCAAACCAAACATGCACACTACCTCAAAACATCCTAAGGATTTATTCGTGTAATCAAATCACCAAAATAACATCATAAATATCAAATTAAACCTCAAAACCAATGAAATTTCCTCAAAACTTCTTTAAACATCAAATTTGCATTTAAGGTCCGAATCACGTCAAATGGATTCCGTTTCTTACCAAACTTCACAGAATTATCTTAAATCATATATAAGACCTGTACCAGGCACCAGAACCAAAATACAAGCCTGATACCATCGAGCTTTAATCAAAATTCATTTCCAAACCTTATAAACAATTTGAGAAAATAATTTTCTTCAAAAATTCATTTCTCGGACTTGGGACCTCGGAATTCGATTCCAGGCATACGCCCAAGTCCCATATTTTCCTACGGACCCTCCGGGACCGTCAAATCACAGGTCCGGATTCGTTTACGCAAAACGTTGACTGAAGTCAAATTAATTAATTTTATAGTCAAAATTTATCATTTTCCACAGATTTTCACATATAGGCTTTTCGGCTACGCGCCTGGACTATGCACGCAAATCAAGGTAATGCTAAAAGAGGTTTTTAAGGCCTCGGAACGTAGAATGTTATTTTAAAACAAGTGATGACCTTTTGGGTCATCACACATGGCCCGATTGAGTAAGATCTTTTTATTTTTCCGGCTAAACATATGGTTTTCTAAGCCGGTCTCTCTATTTCTGGGTTATTTTTCTAGAGAACCATAATCTCTTCTATTGTACCTCTTAGATCTGTAATAGATCTGAGGTTTCTCTGAACTATTTTTGTTTTTTTATGAAAAATCTTTTGATTTCTTAAAGCGTCGCTTTATTTTCCCATTAGGGTTTCTGGAACTTTTCTTCAAAACATACCTCTGGTTTTTTAATGTTGTTCTCTTATTCTCATATATTTAAATGATTTTCTATTAAAATTGCTTTTTAATCATATTTTGTTATGTTAAAACCCTAGTTTTAACACTATGTTATAATCCTGAGTCTGTCTTTGCTGATTTGTTTATTCGATTCGTCTGAATATCTGTTTCTCATGAATATGTTTCGAGTATCCGTAATTTTACCCTATTGTGCTTATTAGGGTTTCTGAATTGATTCTTCTTGCCTATATTATGTCTATTTTTTGTTTATTCACAAAAATTTATATTAATTTCCCTTAATCAGTACTACTTTTATTTGAATCCCTGATTTCCTGTGATTGATACCCTTTACTGATTTCATGTGATGATATTCTGCGTTGATTTTCGACTTCTAAATTATCTTCTTGCCTTATTATGTGGTTGACTACATTATTTACTGATTCTTAATATTGTTTCCTTAATTAGGACTTTCTGAACCTAGCCCTAATTACTTGTTCTATACTTGCACTGTTTGAAATCTTTCCTTATTTGTTATACTCCAGCTATGTATGATTTCTTTCCTTACTTTTCACCTGCTCTTTAACATTTGAACTAATTCCCTTAATTAAGGGAAGACTTGGACTGATTTTACTCTGAGTTCTATAATTACTGAACAATTTTGATTCTTACCTTATTTACCTAGCTTTCAACCTACTATATATATTGCTCGCTTCTACAGTCTTACAGACACACGAACTCACATTAGTTCACATCTATCATACACTCAAAAGCTATTCTGCTTTCTTTTGTTACTTACTATTGTTACTAAATTAGCCGGCTGCAAACCAAGGCTAATTATTACACTCTCCTGTTCTTCACCTTGTGTTTACTCTCTTTACTGGTATGTTCTGGTTTTAAATTCAAGGTCTCAAACCAATGTATTTCCTACTGCTTCAGTTTATTATATTCCTAATTTGTTTCTACCTATTGTTTTGATGTTCAACATATAATTGACATATTGCTTCACCTATCTTGTTAGTTATGTCCTACCCCTTCTAGGATCAGCATGTCTTATGAACTTGTAGTCTGTCTAAATTTGACTCTACCCTGTTTTTGTTGTCTGATTCTATGTTGGTTCTGAAATTCTTACTGTGTTGTATCATTAGCTATCCCCAATCCCATGAACCCCCTAAAGCACCTCTGATTCTATAACTATGTTCTAATTAGCACCCCTGAATCCATGTCTTACTGTTTGCACTATTAGCTACCCCTTAATTGCAAAGACTTATGTTTACATATATTATGTGTTCCCAGGCCCAATTACCCCGGTGTGAAGGGTTGTTATTTGAGTGTTGCTGAACCTGTTTTAGCTCTATGTTTGATCTGTTATTTGTGTGATTATACAACTCTTATCAAAAACTGTTTTACTGAACAATTCTCTTATTTTATAAATCTACTTCAACTGAGTCTTTTTCACATACTACTTTCTTATTAAAACATTTTCAAAACTATGTCAAGCACTCTCACTCTACTCTTAGGTCCTTAAGTTCTACCCCTCCAGTGTGTGACTGCATTGGGATCCCTGTGAAATCCCTCTGAACTTTGATGCACTGGAGTTGGCACTTCCACACTGCACTTACTCAGTTCTGGTTATAAAGTCTGGGTGTGAGCGCTGCCCGGGATCCTTGGGGTCCTTAGAGAACTCTGACACACCCGGACATAAGAAAGACTATGAAACTTTGGCATATGAGGCTATGGACAGTTTGGTATATTTGGGCCTGCTTCAGACTCCCTATAGTGTAACTTCTTCTTTTCCTTTATTTATTTATGTAATTTATTCAGCTGGTCTGTAATAATTTTTTTATAAATGACTATTGGGGATGACTAGTGAAATGGGGAGGGTAGTTATATATTTCTATTAATATCATTGGGGTAGAAAGCATGTTATAGGCTTTACCTTATTTATGCTTACATTAGAATCCCTGCTTTAGGACCAATACATTTAAATCGTGTCATGCACTAGATATCATGCTTCTAGGTTTCACGTATACTGCTTCAGAATATCACTTGACACTAATACATGTTTATCACTTAGAAATCCTGCTCCTAGGTTAATAAATAACATTAACATAAAAGTTGTTATTCCTGCTCCTGAAATCATGTCTTAACAATTCTGTAACTCTTTTTGTGCATTTAGAGATCATGCTTTAGGAACTCTGTTAATTTAAAGATCATTGTCATAAAAACTGTCGTTTCTGTGCATTTAAAAATTATGTATTAGGCACTCTGCTTGCATTTTGCTTAGCCACGCCTAGTTAAACGACTGATTATGAAAGGATGTAAAAATAGTCTCACATATGATCGTCTTGTTTCAAATAAAACTGGTAACAATCCTTGTATTCTCAGCATGCTTTAGGCAAGAAACAACTCTTGAATTGTTAATGCTTCTGTAACTATTATGCATGATCCCACACCTAGGCAAGCCTTAGGTAATCAATCTGTGTAAAACTGGAGAACTGTTTTCATTTGTGTTTACCGCTTAACGACTTACAGGTTTAAAATCAGTAGGCAAACTGATTAGGACCTTACTGTCGAGTTTATAAAAAACAAAGTTGCATATTTTTGTGCATTGACATCCACTTAGATATCTTGTCTAGGTCTTTTCTCTAATAAAAATTGCTCGTGTTTGTGTTTGAGATGTGTTGCTTATGTGCATTACTTGTAGAGGTAAACCTGGGCCTCTTAACTGCATCTTTCTACATTTATTTGTTAAGTCCTATGTGTTCTTGCCTGTCGCCTAGAATTTTTTCCTTTTAAAACACCTTAGGGGTTGTCTAGAACTGCCTAGATTTAGAGGTCCTAAACTCCTCCGGGATCACAAGGAAGGGACGGGTAACATCACGCTTAGAGTTCGTTAAATAAAAACTCGCTTGATAACCACTAAGGGGTGGGGTACTGGGTAGAAAGGGATATGATGATTACACGCTAATGTCACGTGTAGCCCCTCATTGAGGAGTGTTTACCGGGCATTGCGTGGAGTGATCCTGTAAGCTAACCAACCTAGGACCCCTCATTCCCAAATTCCCTTTGCTTAAACTTTACTCTTCTGTATGTACACAGTTTGTTCAAGTCTTTCCTTTGTCTCATTATTTGAGTCATGTAATGTCCAAAACCTGCTCTTATTTGTAATTATGTGTTTAAACTATTTATTTGTTAAAGGACTAGTTCATAAGTATAAGTTCGGCCGGGACCCACCGTTGTGGACCGAGAGGGGTGCCTAACATCTTTCCCTCAAGGTTATTTCGAGTCATTACCCTAAATCTCTGGTAATGCAAACTAGTCTAAGAGTTAATCGCTCTAGGTGCAACGCACCATAATCCGTTAGGTGGCGACTCTCCAAATACCCAAATCCCAAAAGGTAATGAGTTATTACCCCCATGAACGTCGGAACCCGGACTTTCTCCGCAAGAGGAAAAAGGGGGGCGTTACAGTGTCCATGTCACCAAAATGTCAGTGCCACATGGTATTGAGTGTCTACCTTGAACTGTTCTAACGGAGGATTGGTATATTTTGAATCACTTGAATAACGTTAGGGACATTTTTAGACGGATAGTAACGGAGGGAAAAGTTGATTCATTTCGCATAATAGAGGGACATATTTGAACGGCCAAAGCAATACAAACGCATCTTACATGGTTAGGCATCAAGAATTAGTACTCCTGTTTTAGTGCTTTGAATAGAGAACTTCACTATTTCAAACATTATTGGTTTATTAGCCCTAGACTAGAAACACAGAACAAGCATTCAATAGTTAACAAGAAAACAAAGCAGAAAGAGATTGAATAGTATAATAGACCAAATATATGTGCTGCTTTTGTCGAGTATATTTTCAGTAACAATGGCTTTTACAATACAAATGGCTATGTATTATTTTTCCAAAAAGAACAAAATAATCTACTGTATTCTTTCTTTTTTTGGGTAGGCCAAAATCAACATTGTTGACAATTGTGTGAAATACTACTACGTTGCGTAATCCCTCTGTGCGAACTAGCTGCTGCCTTTTATTTAACAATTCACAGCTGAATACTAGCCAATGTACTGAAGTTGACGGGTGTGACAAATTCCTGTCCAGTTGCATAAAGAAGAGACAAAGCTGCCATTTCAGATGCTTTCTGAGTTGGGTGAAACCAATCCCAGAACAGGTATTTGTCGCGCTTCTCGCAAAGATCAGATTTTGGAGTACATTTACTGTTTCCTCCGAAAGGTCCTGTCCCACAGCAGGCTGATTCAACTTCTTCAAAACCTACTCCATCACAAGTAAACAATTAGTACTCAATTTTAAATGTATTGACGCACACACACATTAAGAAATTTGTTTAATGGTACTAGCTAATTATAAAGATTGTTTGACTAAAATAACCTTTTATCTCTAATTAAAAGAGTAAGAATTGTTGAGAGACTTTTTTAAAAAAAAAAATTATGGATTATTTATAGGAGCAACAGTAGATTGAAACAATAATTAATGCCTTCTTAATTTTCTAAAGTAACACTTGTTTGGACCGAAGTTATGTGGCTAAAATGACATTTAAAATGAAGATAATAATATTCTTATCTCTAGTTTTCAAGGATTAATAGGATATTCTTATCTCTGAGTGACCGTTTTTTGATATTGATCACAATAAAATACAGTTGAATTTTTGTGAGTGAAAACTTTTTTTTCTTCTTATTTATAAAGCTAACGCACCCGCAGTGGGTGCTTGCTTGTGAGTGAAAACTTAAAACACTTTTAACATCTGTTTTCCAAATATCTTCATGTTCAAACACCAACCGATTGATTCAAGTCCAAACGGGGATGAACCAACTCAGTTTACCAAATTAGGGTATATTCACAAGTTTGCACCCACTTATTCCTTGATTTAATCTGAAATAGTTATATCAATAATTACCTGATGCAACTGCATTATCAATGACACCCTTGGTCATCAAGTAAGAATTTCCAAGTGAAAATTTCACTCCTGGATTTTTTGAGCTGAAATTTTGCAGCAAGCTGAGTGTTGTATTATAAAATGATTGAGCAAAATCATTAAGTGTCTCATTACAGGCTCCACCAGGTGTTACACTACGTATAGCCGGACAGCATCCAATCGTTGGAATGCTCACAATTCCAAATTTCCTTGCACCTAGATTATATAAATTCTGCATTTAAATTAACCAAAAAAAAATCTTTAACTTTTTATAGTACAAGGACATAGAAGACTATATAATACTCCCTCCGGTTCGCAATAAGTGATCAATTTGTTTTGGGCACGCCCATTGAGAAAAATACTAAATTCTAGACAAAATAGTTAGTGTGACTAAACTACCCTTAATTAAATATTGCAGCATAATTTAATGTGAGGAGTAAAATACTTTTTAGGGATACGTACATAAGGGTAATTTTGAAAAAAATAAATTGAATATTTTCTTGATTATATAAATGGACATTTATTTTGGACCAAAATAAAAAAATAAATTGATCACTTATTGTGGACCGGAGGAGTACTACAGTTAATGAGGAAATACGAAACAAAAAAACTTACCCAAACTAAATCGATTTAGCTGCTGTGTTTGGTGCATGCGATAGGAAGTTATTTTCCTGAGAAAATATTCTAAGGAAAATATTTTTCTTAAAATATAAATTTTTGGTAGCTAAGCACCAAAATAACTTTCTCATATAAAATATTTTACCAAAAATGACTTCTGTCGCGTCACAGTATTTTAACAAGTGATTCTATATATCTAAATGGGGAGTAGGAAAAAGCAAGTTAATGGAGGTTGCATTCAAGAATATTCTTGTTTGATTTTTCCAAGAGAAACTCCTAAAATGCTACAGTATGTCGGAAAAAAGGAAGATTAATCCAAGATTTAAGAGATAGGAAAGAACATAGTAATATTTTAACCTGTAAATGGTTGGCAAAGGTATCACTGAGATCAGTAATGAGTTCAGGTGCAGATATATTGTAGTTGTAACGGAATTGGTCGAAGAAATCATTGCTTCCCACACTTATAAGGTAGAAGGCATTTGCAACCAGCTTTGAAGCTATGTCATCATCTCCATATATTTCGGTGATGTTCTCGCATACACTTTGGAATTGTTCTATTTGTTGAGTAAGCGATACTACATGATGCTGCAACACTCAAAATTATGCATCTATATTAAATATCATCTGAATATATAAATGCAGATAAAAAAAGAAGAGTAATATTGAGATCTCACAAATCCAGGATTTCCAGTATCATCAAGAATGCCAGATCCTCCTGATGCAAAGTTGACACCACGAAGTATGCTACTCTTAAATGTTGTTGACGTTTCCTGAACTAAGGCGTAAAAGGCTGGCGGGCTTTCCGTATAATTACCCAAGTGCGTCGCTAAACAATCAATCATTTAATTTCTTTTTAGATCTGCCTACGCTACGTACGTATATAGTTAATAATTCAAAATACTTATAAAATGATACTAGTCCAAAAAAACATCTTTAACTATTCAAGTAATAATACTGTCACATAAAATGAAATAAACTGAGTATAGAAGAGTCGCATAATCATTGTTATAGTGAGAGCTGATCATTTTAGAAAGGAAATACTAGTGAATATATATACCAATGATGTCCGCAGGGTTATAGCCATTGCTAAACCTTCCTGTAGCAATGTGGTGTGGGTAATCAATTCCGTAGTAAGGATTGTTAGCTGTAGCAAGACTGCCATTTACATAATTATTAGTTCCAACGTCTACAGTTGAATCGCCAAATATAAAAATAGCTGGTACATCTGCTATGACCAACTTTGATGACCAAATAACAACAGCATGTAACAGCAAAATCTTAACCCTATGCAAGAGAAGATCCCCTAGCTTCCCCATGTATGAGAGTTTAAATTTTCTCGAGGTATTCTCCTTTTTGTTTCACTCAGTTCGAGTAGTTGCTGCATCTACATATCATTTCTGGCCTTATTTATAATTACGTCTGGAAAAATAGACATGAGCAAAAGGTTAAAAAATGCTGTGTTCAACATGGAAAGAATCTTATGATGATATCATCATCAACCTTAGGCCAGTTGGTTTAATTACCTCGCTAATATTTACTTGTGTACTCCTAATAATTACTATAACTCATAGAATATAATATTATTATACTATGAGTATATATATTTTAATTACTTTTATATAACAAAAAGATATATACTAGTAAGTAAAATTCAATAATCATAAGTAACCCAATATTTTTCGTAAAAGATAACTTCTGCTATACCAAACATACTCAATGAAAATTCATTTTTGGACCAGTGTATTTAAAAAGGTAAATAATCAAGATACCCCTGTCATTCCTTCATAAACAGTTGAAAAAGACAACAAACCAGCATAGGGATATTAGTTAGATGAATATGTACAACATGTGACGTATTAATATGCACACAAAATAAAGAAGATCCGTCTAGAGTTGATTGACGTCGCGACGACATGAAAAAATGGAGTTATTAGTTACGTTGTCTGAACGAGATCGCTTCTAGTTAAAAACTATGTACATCTTTTACTAAGAGTATATGTCCTTTCTAGCTAATCATGTCCAGAATATCTACTTATAGAATATCCTTGACACATTGCATCTTTTATTTTATTTTCTTAAAGCCACTAAACGCATGCATGCTTGTGCCAAATTATGTGAAGTTAAGATCCGTTTTTTCATCATTATTTATACTTTAAGTCAAAAGAAAAATGGTTCAATTGTCCATGGCCAAATATGAAAATCTAATACATATCAGGACGGTAGTCGGTAGATAGAAAAAACAAGCGTAACACTAAGATTTACGTGCACTCCAGTAATATAATGTTGACGAATATTGCTAATAAATTTCACAATCTTATATATCATAAAAGCATGATCAATGTTCGAAAGGAATAAGATGCATAATTAATGCGATTTACAATATTATGAAAATTAGAGGTGAAAATGTTAACTAACTAGATTTTCTCAAAGACTACATTATTTTTCTTCTAAAATGAAGTATTTTCCGTGCCTTGATGTGGTACCTTTTTAAATAAGACAAATGAGATATTAACATGTTCAAATTGTGATCTTCTTAACAATTATGAACAATCTCCATTCTTGAATTGGTTGCTCCACCCACTCTTGCTATGGATTAATGTGTTTAGCTGAAAATGCATATGATAGTTGAGCATATATCGAATGCCGCTTTCTTCTCCATCTCCTTAATTTATAGTAGTATTATTTTACATTTTAAATCAATCAATTAAATCTTTTGATTAAAGTCTCTTATTGAATATTTAAAAATTTATCTATTAACATAATACAAATCGTAAAGTGAATTTTTATGTCTTTCTTGGTAGTAATATGATTCTGAAAAGTACTTTATAGAAAGATTAGTCAAAATTCAATTTATTTCTTTCATGCTAACAAATATAATTTTTCCATTTAAAGCTATTACGATCTTAAAATGTTTTTTTTTCTTCTGAAACTCCATTTGAAAAGAACTCATTTCATAATGAGCAACTTTGGAAGTTTGACATCAGTCCTAAACTCCTCCGCTAATTTCCATATTTTCATTTTACACCCCCTTATTGACATGGCATAATACTTTTAAGACTACAAGGTTCAAAATATATTTTTGATATAATATACTACACATATTTAATTTAAAATTATAAAATTCAAAAAAAATTATATTCTTGTTGAAATTAAAATTGCGTCAAGAAAATATTTGAGATCGAAAAATATTGCAACAATCGTAGTATTTTATTGAGTGTTACAATCTCTATGAATTCGCAGATTCTTCTTTCCAATAGTAAATAAAAGAGCCTTCGAGCTTAATCTAAAATTTTATTTTATTTTAATCCAAATGCTTGAGGTTGGATCTTGATCTGGACGTATTTTTAATCCAAGGGCTTGCAGCTTGTTCTTGAATTTTCGTCTTGATCTTTTAATCCTTAAAACACTTGAATGCTTGTAGCTTTTAGAGATATCTACAGCGTTTGATCCATGAGTTATCTCTTGGTTCTTGTTATAACTTCTGGTGTCCTTTTTGAGTTATGAAGACCCCTATTTATAGTTGTGGGAGGGAAGAGTTGTGATGAGAATAAATTCTTTCCGACCAATCAGACTGAAGCGTGACAAGACCGCATTTGATTGGCCAGAATATGTCACTTGCACATGTGGCGCGGTTTCATTGGCCTTTTAATTTAACTTGGCATGCGTTGTCATTTTGACACGTGGCATGATCTTATTGGCTCTTCCGTTTGACTTGGCGTGTCACGTCATTTGACACATGATACCAAACTGGGCCTCTAGGAATATGACATATTGGGCATAATGAAGTGAGCTCATCATTTGCTACCAACTAAATGGGTTAGACCAGTCAATAATTATTGGACTTAAGTAATTAATCCAATTATATTAGCCTATAATATTTTTTTGGACCAAAATATATTAATTGAGATCAAATTCAAATTTTTTTTGAATTTAAATTCAATAAAATTTTAATTGCCTACAAATACCCTCTACTTCAAGAGTTGTCTAATTTTAAAGATGATGCTTGAAGTACAATTGAAGCAACAATTTTGTTTTTTGACATCACATGACAGAGCCCGAAAAGATTTAATAGCCTAAAATTTCCCAAAAGTCTTAAATATTGAACTTTTCAAAACTTTAATCACGTAAAATGTCCAATTGCCTTCTTTTGTTCCTTCGACATTCACTTTTTTTTTTTTTTGAATTTTNTTTCAAAACTTTAATCACGTAAAATGTCCAATTGCCTTCTTTTGTTCCTTCGACATTCACTTTTTTTTTTTTTGAATTTTGTGGCACGTGTTTTGGCAAACTTCCACACGTAAGTCCAATATTAAATTTGATTATCAACTAAAATGATGGCCCATTCTATGATAATAAATCATATTATATCCCTTCTAGTCCTCTTGCCCATATTAGATATTTGTACCAGCTAAGCTCATCACATACAGAAGTTTGAATCCTTCTAGGAAACAAAGCAAACAAACTGACTTCACGTGGAAGTCTGATATGATCACCGCCTCACCGGTGATCTTTTCTGATTAGAAGAATAATTCTTACACGGAGTTCGATTACAACCATCTCACGTCGGTATTTATTTTCCCACAGCCACCTTTTGATAGCTATAAATACCATACGCTCTTCATTTCATTAGTATCAATTTCAGCTTTTGCAAATTGCTTTGAGTCTATCTTTGATGATTTGAAGGCATTGACGCGAAAGTAATTTTTTTTCTTTTCCTATGCTTTCTTCCTTTTTTACTCTGTTGTCTCCTTTTTTTAGAAGTAATTTCGTCAAACTACGAAGTACTTTAAAAGTTTGAGATGAAGACCTTTAAAAGTTCGCGATGAATAGTACCTTTAAAATTGTCACGACTCAAAATCCATAATAGGTCGTGATAGCGCCTAACACGGCTGCCAGACAAGTCAACGTTGATTTATCAGTTTAATTACTCATTTTATTACTTTGAAATCACAATTTCCATTAATTAAATAGTACCAAATAGAATTTACAGGGTGAAATACTAAAAATTCCATGAACCATCATGCTAAACCTCTAGCAGAAACCCTCAAAGCCTAGTGTCACAAATAGATGGGCATTTTTCTAAGGAATATACAATAAATATACATCATCCGTCCCGAATGTAATAAGACAGAATAAAAATAGACAATACAATGGAGACTCGGTGGACTGCGGTGCGTAGCATGGAGTGCAGCTCACATAAAGTCTCCTCAACCGGTGTGCCTACGCGCCAAAATGATCATCAAATGACCTGTCAGATCCTGCACATTTAGTGTAGAAATGCAACATGAGTACGTAAATTAACGCGTACCTAGTAAGTATCAACCTTAACCCCAGAGAAGTAGTGACGAGGGGGCCAACATCGACACTTACTATAGGTCCAATATAGCAATATAATAAAACATAAGCAGATATGAAGCATACGACAAAGATAGGGTAAATATGTAAGTTACATAATCTTTCGATTATTTTCTTTAAAGCATAAATTTATCGATCATGTATCCTGCCTTAATATCTCATAAATATGCCAAGTGTCAATACCAATTAAGTAAGAAATACCATAAAATGTTGGGTATCAGTGAAAGGTTTATCTCATGAATATTCGAACTACTAGCGATATTGATGATAGGCTATAATTACGTATTTTAGTCGATTATTACATTCCAATTCACTGCACTTTAATTGAGTTTGAGCTTTAATCACTAGCGTTTTGCACTAATTGTGTGTTTTATGCCTTGTGGGAGTAATTCCGAGCTATGTAGATGTTATGGAATGAATTCAAGTAATTTAGAGCTTTGAAGTCTGAGTAAAAACCTAAGGAATTAAGTTGGGATCGTGTTCGGGGATCAACGGATGATAGTTAAGAACGAACGAAGAATCGAGTACGCATATTGCACACTGTCTAGTAAAATGCACATAATTTTTCGCTTAGAACTTCATTTGGGCTCCACAATATATGGTTGGAAATTTAATTCAAATGACTACAACTTTCATGCTTTATATTTTTCCAAATTCCGAATAGTACAGGGTGAAAATTTTGTGACAAGTGTAGGGCCGCGCACAGATTCACGGGCGCGAACAGCACACTATGCAAAATCCACGGCTAAATCCACAGTTGAATCCCCGGCCACGGACGTCCTGACCTGGAAAAGTGTCCCTTTTCACGTAGGAGAAGGTATAATTATTTGGGCCCGACCATACTTGGTATATATACATGGAAAAGCGGTATTTTGAGCACCTTTGACATACTTTTGACATAATTTAGACCTAAGGAGGCTAAGGAGACCAGGGATTCGACCGAAGGAAGCAAGAACACATT